TCGTATCCAGAAGTTGTCATACAATCTTAATATGGACTATGTTGATCCAGTGAGTGAAATTGCTATTATGTTGCCTAACAGCTTCCTTATGCTTATAATACTCTGTTCTATCGATTATATGATATATTTTAGGTGTTGGTAGCTATGAAAGTAATTGGAGGATTGTACAAAGGTGTTTCAACAGTAGAATTGGACAACTTGGCTGCAGAAACTGCTGCATCAATGACTACTCAACATCCTGATTATGCTATCCTCGCCGCTCGTATTGCTGTATCAAACTTGCATAAGAAGACCGGAAAGGTACATCTCTATCTTATCACCTTGATTTGAGAGCTCTATATGTTTTTCACAGGTTTTTTCCGAAGTCATGAAGCGACTGTATGAGTTCCGTCATCCATCGACTGGGGAGCATTCTCCGATGATCAGCAAGGAGACTTATGATATCATCATGAAAAATGCTGACGTACGTTTTTCACCCGTTTTGACTGATGCAACTGTTCATCTTTCAGAGGCTGAATTCCGCTATAGTATACGATCGTGACTTCTCCTACACTTATTTTGGGTTCAGAACTCTTGAGCGATCATATCTTTTAAAGATAAACAAGGAGGTATGTTACTCATTGATGTTTGTTATGCTTCGACAATTAACATTTTCTCAAGGTAGCGGAACGTCCACAGCATATGCTTATGCGAGTGGCTGTCGGTATACATGGTGAAGATATCGATGGAGCTATTGAGACCTACAATTTGATGAGCGAGCGATATTTCACACATGCATCGCCAACGCTTTTCAATGCTGGAACCGTATGGTGAGTATAGTTTCATTTGAATGCGTCCAAATTTCGTTCCTTTCCTAAAATCAGTGTTCCTCAGGCCTCAGCTTTCCTCTTGCTTCTTGTTAACCATGAGTGAGGATTCAATTGCGGGCATTTACGATACATTGAAACAATGCGCTTTGATTTCAAAAAGTGCTGGAGGAATTGGATTGAATGTACATAACATTCGCGCCACTGGTTCTTTGATTGCTGGGGTGAGGATTGAGAATCTTCAGTACAGTTTTGAGCACTACTCGTATCTATAGCACCTGATTTAGACTAACGGTACTTCAAATGGTCTGGTTCCTATGCTTCGTGTGTACAACAACACAGCCCGCTACGTTGATCAAGGTGGTAACAAACGCCCGGGAGCTTTCGCCATCTATCTTGAGCCATGGCATGCTGATATCTTTGAGTGAGTTTTTTTTTCAATTATTGCATTATATTATGGCTCTTTATTGTAGCTGAAAAGTTTATCTTGCTCATTGATAGGTTCGTCGCACTGAGGAGAAACACTGGTCCTGAAGAAGAACGTGCTCGTGATCTCTTCTATGCTATCTGGGTTCCAGATTTGTTCATGAAAAGAGTTGAGCGCGATGAGGAGTGGTCTCTTATGTGCCCACATGAATGTCCTGGTCTTAGTGATTGCTGGGGAGAGAAGTTCGAGGAACTGTATACTGGGTACGTACCTTTTGGTTTATTTCACATGGTGTTTTCTTCTCTTATTTTGGTTTATCTTTGTTTCGGCGAAACAGGAAAAGTGTTCTAGATACGAAAAAGAACGCCGCTTCCGTAAGCAAGTGAAGGCTCGCAAACTTTGGGAACAAATTGTATCCAGTCAAATTGAGACAGGAATGCCGTTCATTGTGTACAAAGTTAGTTTTTTTTGTAATTGAATATCTGCTTATCTATGCTTAAACGATAATGAAAATGCAATGTGTCATACTAAG